CGTTTATTGTGGCACTATAAGTTTAACTAATTTTATTTTAAATTATTTTATTTTTTATGAAGAAATAATATAATTTTAAAGAAAAGACTTTATCCGCCATGGAAAGGCTAAAATAATTTGAACTTTGATCAATTGAATTGTTCTTCTATACACTAAATTAAACCAGAATTTCTTATTCAAAATCGCTAAGAGTTAATAAAATTGATCTTAACAATCTGCAGAATAAAAATAAAATAATTTCTTTATTTTTAGTAAATGAGATCTACGATGCAATGACGGGAAAGTTAAAAGAGCATTCGGCTGAACATTTCGGTTATCTTAATCCTAGGAGTCTATTCCTGAAATCATCAGCTTTTGTCCATTTGAATCAGTCAGCTAACAAGTTTCTACCCTCTTAACCATTCACGCGATCAATTCGATGAAGTTGCGAAAAAAGCTGTGGCGTCAGCTTTTTTCGGATTCATGCGCTTTCGTACGATGCATATTTTTTCATTTTCTTGAAGTTTGAAATTTTTATTAAAACTACGCAATGGCGATTCATAACGTTTTATGTTAAATTGTGTAACGCAATTCTCACATGCAAAACGCTTCGACAAAAAAACTTATGAATGTTATTGAAATGAATGTTATTGAAATGTTATTGAAATTAATGGCATGCCTCTGGTCATGGAACTGCTGCTTCGCTGTAACGAATGAAAAATGCGAATTGCAAATGGAACATGTCACGCTATTATTTGATCTGAATGCTCATAGGGAATTTCTTTTTTAGGAAGATAGCGCATCCAGAATTTCTGTGACAGTAGAAGAATTTAATATCATGCGTCGTAATTTGTTAAAGGCCATTCTTTTATAAAAGTTGTTTAACTATCATATATCAATATATTAAAATTATATTTATTGTAATTATATAAAGCGATTAACAGCTTCAATACAAGCTTTATTTAATTTAAATTTACAATTAAGTGTTAGAAACATTAAAAGCTTTTTTCAGTGATTAATTTAAATACATATTGACAGAAATGCTCGCATAATAGTATACTACAGTACAGAATATGCAACTGGAAAAAATTATTCATTAGATCATTGATTTCTTTTTACGAATTGTATGAATTTTCGTGTTGTTGAGGGGTGTAGTGTCTATGTACACGTAGATTATATGAAATAATCGATTATAAAAATATATGCCCGAAAACGTATTTTGGTCAATGGCGTTTGGCGTTTGACTCGTAATTTAATGTCGACTGACATCCCTTGAGTCTATCGTTGAGAGCAAAATCAACAAGACTAAACGTCATGACTAGAACTTGAAGATCTTTTGAAAGACGATGATGGTTTATCTGACGTACCGTAGCGTACCTGATGTTGTCACAGTTACATCAAGTAGGATAAAAATGATCGACAATGGATAATATATTTTCGTCTATGTTTATTTTTTATAAATGTGCATGTATAAAGAAAATTTCTTTTCTAGTTATATATTAATTAAATAATTAATATTGCGTTAAGTCTTGATAAAAGAAATAATATTTTATAATAGAAGATAAATAAAAATTTCTTTTAATTATGCTTTTGAGTAATGCTAATTTAGTCTAAAAAAATCAAATATGTTATGTACAAAAAATAGATGTAAATGAAAACGGTACATACAAAGAAAGCTTTTATTTACTTGTAATGTTTGTTTACATAATAGATACATAGTTTTTTAGAATACCATCATATGTTTCAGTTTTTTAGAATAGTAGATAAAGATATTAGTAAAGCGTTTTGCTGCAACATGGCTGTGAGATAAAAATTACTTCAAGCCTGAGATTGGCATCAAAATTGAACAATCGAAAAATATTTATTCATGATATTTGTGATATTCATTTATAGGAAACTCTGTGTGTAAGAACTTCGTACTCTGATATTATATAAAACGAACGGCACAAATAAGTTGAAAATCTGTTCAATTATGAAAATTTATTTATTATGCGAATTATCATATGTTTAAAATTAACATTGCGTTTTCTAGAATGAATGACATCTATTTCTGAACACTTCAATTTTTTGATAACTAAAGTTTTTGTAATGAATTTTAAGAACAGCATTAATTATTTTAATCTTTAACCACATCGGCAGAGTTTACAACTTATAATCTAATTTTCTTTATATTGGATGCATATCTATTATTTTTCTGGAGCTGTTAAATAAACACGTAATGCCCATTCTTACAATGGGCATGCACATGAAATATGCACATTGACTTGACTTACTTGCGTGAATATTTTTATCCAATTTCAAAATTTAATTTATAAAGTTTTTAAAATTTAAAATATTGAATTTTGTAAATTTGTTATAAGTATAAAAAATTATAAATTTAGAGTAAAAATATTTTTTTTAATTATTTCTATATTGTTTCTAAATGATTGTAACTACATCTTCTATTTTCTTTGTTAATTTAACATAAAGAAGTATAAAATATAAAAGCATATATTAATATGAAAAATATAATTGAGATAATCATTATAGCGTTGCCATCTATTGCAAAGTCTACGTATTTGCTCGCAGTGTTGCTTGCAATCAATATTATTTTAACGGACAGATTTCTAAAAAATTATGTTACAATAATTTTTGGTCACTTCACCTGTGTTTTTTACGTATTAATAAAAATTTTTTTGCAATTATATATGGTCTTTTTTTCTTATATTTATTTTTAGACTAAATAAATAAATGAAGTAATTAAAATTGTATCTAAAATTTGTATTATAACAAGTTATTTTTGGACTTTACAAAAAAGCTTTATAAAAGTTTCATTCAATGAATACAAAATGAATTCAAAATATTTCATTTGCAAAATAAATAATGGATATCTATTATTTTTTTGGAAAAATAATAGATATGAAGCTTACCATGCACTGTTCAGGAAGGAATTTGTTAGGTAACAAAAAAGATGCAATCAATAATTTGTTTCTAAAATTATATTACGTATAGATATATTTACAATAAATGCACTGGCAATTAATAAAATTGTACTTTTTTAATGTCGATTATAAATAGTTAATTTTTTTAATATTTATATACAATAATCAAATTATCTATAGTGAAAAATATTAGTATCCAATTTCCAATATACGATCACAACACACTAGAAAAACATTAAGAAAAACATCTTATAATTAACGTTGTAAAAATGTCTTTTGAAAAATTTTTGAGACTTTTTTTAACTTGCATGTTGTTTGATATGCTGTTCTTTCTTATAATTAGAAATTGTCATCAATATATAAAAGAAGTATAGATTGTAGAATATAAATTTATTATTTATAAGAATTAATATAGGTTTGTTTTCGTTGAGAAAAATATGAATTATTTATTTATTAAAAATTTATTGATAATTTATTGATAATTATTAAGATATAAAAAAATGAGCATTATGTAAAGTAAACTACAATATGATTTGTTTAAGTACGGTTTGAATGACAATATTAAAATTCTGAAAGGAAAGTTACGTGCAATTAGTTTTTATACCTAAAAAAAAAGATTTTTGATGCTAAGGCTATAGTACAAGAATATGGAAATAGAAATTTGCATAGAAATGTAATGTATTTGCAGCTGTTCTTTTACAAAGTCGTTAAATCGAGTAATAAACTCTACTTTTTTAGAAATATGCAAATTTTGACTTTGAGCATAAAGCAATTTTATAACGAATATTTATAGTTTATAATTTCATCAGTGTTATAAGAGAACTTTTAAATACGCTGCTCATACCATTATAAACATAGAAAAATTAATTTTTTAATAGTTTACAAGGCAATGTTATCAAAAATATTTATATTATAATGATTTTTCTAAAAATATGTTACATTAAAGATTTTACACTAAAAATTCTTACATTGTAAATCTGTAACATTTATGAAAATTATTTAGTTATTTTGCACTGCAATTAATAAGAAATGTGAAGTTTAATATATATAAAGTTCAAAGAATAGATGAAAACTATTTAAAAAACAGCCTGAATGACATTTTGTTGAACATTTTATTGAATAACATCCTGTATTTTGTTGAACATTGAACATCGGAAAAAAATTTAATGCTGCATGAAATGTATCATAATTTAATTAAAACAAATGTTATTGCAATACAGTTTTATGTTATTACATTTTTTTAATTGTCGTTTTTATTTGCGCGCAATGTGTGCGTTCACGAATTTTATTCTATATCAGATTAATTTAATTAAATGAAATTTAAACAGATCGATTAAATTAATATAATGATTCTTCTCTTTATTCTTTTTTTAATAATGAATAAAGTTATTAATGTGCTAATATAACTTATAAGCGCACAGTAAAATTACAAATTAAATTTTTATAATTACCATAGGAGTAATAATTAATATTTTTTGTAATAATTAATTTTTTTGTTACAAAAAAATTTTTCTTGCTTAAAAACACATTACTATGAAATATTTGGGCAATTATTCATTTCTAGTTTACAATATTTTTTGGTCGATTGGTACATATTTTAACTTTAACTTTATCCAAATAAGCAATAGATATTTTATCTATATTTTTTGTACATAGATTAACTATTATACTATCGATGTGCTCATTAATTATGTAGATTCATAAAAATATAAATTAATTGTCGGTTCAATATTTTTTATTTTTTTCATATATACAATCAAGATCAATATTGTATCGCTCCATAGATTTATGAATAATTTTTTTTTATTTTAGTATACTATCTTTATATTAATTTAAGTCATTTGACAATAATTTTTGTTTCTTCTACATGTTCATTTTTCTATATAACTAATAGTATACATTTGTAGCAATTTCTCTTAAAATCTTATATACTTTACTTGACAAAGCGATGTTCTAATACTTTAACTTATTCGGCGGAATGTATTTATTGGTCAGATATATTAAAATTTTTCATAAAAGCATACAAAGTCAGTTTATTTCACCTTATGTATATCTATTTATCTTAATGTTGCTATTAAAATATTTTATATTTAAATATAATTCTTTATACATGACTAAATATAATTGTAAAAATGTTGAGAAAATGAAAATTTATTGGCGTGGTTTCATTGTCTCAAACTGCAAGAAATTAAGAAATAATCATCTTAATATAATAATTAAGTAATCTAATAATTTGCACAATTGGTGAATAAGAATTTCACTATCTTTTCTTTTAATTGTTTTGATTAAATATATCAATAATTGAATAGTTTAAAGCTTGAATTATAAAAAGATCTCATCAAAATATGAGTTGAATCAATGTCAAATAACACAAAAATTATTTTATATAATGGATAGTAAGAAGTGTAATGTTTATATATATGTATATTTTACGAGGTAACTAATCGATCGCGCACGGTTGGTTCTGCCAAGCTTCGTTGATTTTTTGACGACTCATCAATGCCGTTTGGATACGCCGACAGAGTGATAGTAGTTTCTTGCTCTTTAATCGGAGTTGTGGGTCGCACATCGCCTGCCATGATAGAGAGACGCATCACACTCCGATGTTCTCGACGAGAGTCGCCCAAGTACTTTCTCGAACTGATAAGTGAAAAGCTTTGTCCTCGCCCGCGCGAACTTAGATCTGACGATCGTCGATGCCGTCTTTGCATCCTCTTTGTGGCGCAGCACAACAAGTATCTAACGCAAATTATATAGTTATTTAGATATGTGATTAGTTAAGTGAATGCATTGATTGAACTGTATTCATTTTAACAGTATTTGACTGTTAGTTTCAGTAAAAAGGAAATTTTAAGAGATTTTTTTTTTAATATTGGAAAGAAAAAAGATTTTGATTTTTGGATTGATTTTTGAAGATGAATTGAAGAGAAGTGAACAGCGATTTGTGCTACATTTGTGCTACATGTTTATGAAGTCAAGCTAGAAAAATATCTAAATTTCTTTTTTTGCAAAAAGTTACTATTTCTTTAATCTGTCATATCTTATAAAGTTCAATTCTTCATTATTATAACAGATTTTACATGTTTTAAGAGGAATCTAAAGTTGTCTGTCTTACCGACCAAGCATTTTCCTATCTTTTATTGATTTACAGATTTAGAAATCTTTTATAATTAAAGCACATACAAATGTTTCTCAAATCAGCCGAAA